ATTCTATAAATAAAGTTACATTTTATAAATTAAAGAAATGGAAAGTAAAGTTTTTGTAAGAACCTCCATTGTGAACTCTTACTAGTGTTCTTATTGAGGTGACAATAATATCACAGGTAAAATATGGCAACTGAGATTTTTGGAGGTTCCACGGCTGTAAATGGTCTAATTATGCATGAGAATAAAGCTCGTCTCGTTGGGGAACCCGATTTACCCACCCCAACAGGGATGGAGATTCTCCGCAAAACCGGGGAACGAGATCCCCGAAAGTTAAAAACCATGTATGAGGACAACGCTCTGTAACGTGATCTCCGCCCGCCCATCCCCATATATTAAATAATATTACTTATAAAGACTTAGATTTAATATCTTGTAGATTTAGAAATAGTACTTTACCCTTTTTTCTTATGTACTTTTTTTCCAAGTCGTCATAAAAGCAAAATTTTGGAAATACATGAGATTTAAACATGAACCATTATCAATCGACTATTGTGTTTAACACATTTGATTTAAATATCTCATATAAACCGGGAAAAAAAATCCACCGATTTCCCGTTAGGCTCCCCCTTCCTCGATGAGGACGGGTATGAGATGTGATCATATTCCCCGGTGGGGAACGAGACAAGGACCAGAATGGAGCCAAAGACTATGACCTCAAAATAACAGGGATCAAAGTCGGCCAGTGAAACTATGGGGGATAAGCTTCATACTCGAGAGGGAAACAACTCGGAACACCAACTAAGACGCCTAAATGATCAAAGAAGTAGGGTTGCAAAGATAGCGAAGAGAAAAAAATTATTTGTTACACTAAATAAAAATTAATACAAAACTTAATTATATTTTAATATATAATGTATTTTGTCTATAGAGATGTGATATTCAGACACAAACGTTACAATTTAACAAATTCTTAAAATATTAAATTTAGGTAGCGTTTGTTTTTTAAGATGTGCTGAAGTCTGAATTCACTTCTGAATTTTAAGAGGTGGTGCTGAAGTCTGAAATCTGAATCAGTCAGACTGTTTGTTTTTACGTCTGAAATCTGAAATCTGAATCAGTCAGACTGTTTGTTTTTACGTCTGAAGTCTGAAATCTGAATCAGGAAGACTGTTTGTTTTTGTAAACTGGGACAAACGACGTAAGGAGGCGATATAAATAAGAGGTTTTAAGTGCTAGAGTTACCACTTAAAAATTCAAAGGAAAATAAACGAATTCAGCTCTTAATTTGAAAAAAAAAAAAAACAAACGATCTGAAAGTTCTTATGTCTAACCGATTCAGATATAAGAGGAGATTAAGTGAAAAATTAAAAAAACAAACAGCCCCTTAGTTTCTGAAATCATTTTAAATAATCAAATAAAAAAATAAACAACGACCACCATCTAAATTAAAAAAAAAAAAAAAAGAGAAATACAAATTCAAATATTAAGCATAAAAACGCATACCGTAACCATGATCCTTTTAGCGCCAACGGCTTGTTTTTGCCGGGTTTAATGATATGAAATAGCAAAATGCTCCGTCGGTATCTTTCATCATATCATTTCTCGAATTTGATTTTTCTGGTAAATGAAACCCTCTTCTATTCCCGTTATTGCTTGATTTTCGTTTTGTTATACGTCGAGAAAAGTGCCTAGATGATGGGTTTCTTTGATTCTTACAAATTTATATGTAATTAATCTGATGCCACAAGGATTAGGGAATTTGTTTCGAATCTCGAACTTGCTAATTTCATGGTGGGTTTGATGTAGTTATACGTATGGGGTTCATCTGGATTATTGATTATGGTGTTTTAATCTGTTTATCCCCATTTTCATGTATGTGTTTATTGTAGATGATAATAACTTTGAATTCCAAAAGATATGATACTGCTATTGGTGATTGAAATTGTTTCTTTTTTTAGGGTTTATCCATCCTTCAATTTTCATTGTCGTCCCTTCTCATTGATTACTTTGTGTACAGCAATGGGTATCGAAGAGCTAAACGTTAATAGGGAGGAAGAGGAAATGGAGGCAGGTTCAGCCTCAAGCCCTCTCCTCGATGATAAGAACCCATTTCAGACACGTTATCACGATCTGGTTAGATTAAAAGGGTATGCATTTGATGGATTAGGGAATTACTGTCACAAAGAATGGGATTTAGTAGAGGGCAGTGGCAAAGAGTTCTGTTGGTATCATGTTGAACTTCCAAAAGGAAACCAAAAACTTTCTCAATCTGCTCAATACCTTATTGATGTTCTTTGTCCACCATTAAAACTCCAAGATATTCTTTCATTAGTTAGCAATGGACCATATTGTGGGCATGTTGATGGGGCACTTGTGTTTAGGGTTAATTCACCTGGTCCAGCCTCTAGTAAGTTTACATTCAGATTAGCCGCTAGGGTTACTGAGAATTCGATGATTAGTGTGTCATTAGGGCGGGTCCCAAGGTTGGGTTTCTCGCCGGTTGGTCAGTCTCTTCTGTCGGAGATCCCAAGTGTGGAGAGTCCAAATCCTAAGTTTTGTAGAAGTGAGATGAGAGAACGGAATGGGATTGTGATCAAGGAACATGTTCTTGATTTCTTGTTGACGATGAATCATTCTGAGGAGGCAGATAATCCCGTTCCTAAATCTGTATCGAATTTGGTAGTTCATGTAATTGACACACATATGGATCATCTTGAGGATGTTGTTACCAATCTTGAGCTCGAGCTTGATTCTGTTGAAGTTGCACTGGATAAAGGTATACTCTACATTACTAATCAAATATTGGAAAATAGAAGCTTGGTGCAGGTTCGTTTGAGAACCAAATATTCATAACCATGATATTCATCATGAATATTTGGTTCTTCAGTTCTCATAATATTTACAGTTCTCGAATGTACCTGCCCATAGGAGCATGATTGTGCACGTGTGATTGGTCAACAAGTAAACTGTTTGTAATGTGGTTGAACTTTGAATGAATCTTATTTACAAAAGAAGATTGAAGACTTCGATGAAGCCACTATTTATGTTCATTTCTCGGCTGGTAATTGCTATGTAATTCGTCTTTTATTAGAAAATTTCAATCCACCAGGTGGGTTTTCACTGAGGAAACAGTTGTTAGATGACAGAAGATTCCCCAAAATGAATCTGGATCTGCAACGTCTCCTGCGGGTACTTTCTTCAATTTTGTAAACCTATTTTCACATGTAATCTATTGGTCTGAAATTAGAGTAGTTAGAAGTACTCAAAAAATTATGGGCATATGCATTCATCAACTGTAAGCTTGAGGTCTACATGAAAATCTGTCTTTGTGAACTCTCATTGTTATGAAGTCTGATATCGAATGCACACAAGAATAGACCTTAAGTTCTTGTACATCATTTCTATCTAGTCTTTCTTCATCAATATTCGAAGAAAAAACAATTGGTCTTCAGTTGTGCATCTTGTTTGTGAGAATATGTGGAACCCCATTAGATTACTATCCAAAAGAGCCCTTTAGGAAAAAAAGGGAGGTTGCAACATATATTGAAGAGAAAATGGTCCAGGTTTCTAGTCCATAGAGTGGTTGACTTTGACTCTGATACCCGGTTTACTCTACAAAAGAACCTTCGAGGAAAGAAGGGAGGTTCCAACATATGTCGAGGAGAAATGGTCCAAGTTTAGCCGATGTGTGAATCTAACAATATGAATGCAGGTTATTGCACATGGGGAACAAGTATTTCCTAGAGTGAAGGAAAAATGTTCTTCGAAAGATTGGTTTGCAGGTGAAGATGTTGTTTCGCTTGAAGAGTTGATTGGACGGCTAAGAAGACTAAAAGACAACGTTGGTTTTATAACCAATCGAGTCACAGCCGTCCAGGCTGGTCTAGACTGCTGGCAGGCCGAGCAAATCAACAGAAAACTTTACTATCTTTCCTTCTTTTCGATCATATTCCTTCCTTTATCCATCATCACCGGAGGTTAGATTTCACTCCAACTCATCTATTTGATATATAAGCATCAAAGGATTTCCTTTTTGGAAGTCTTTCTGTTTTCACCTCATTTTGGTTTATACTCCACAGAAACTGGTACCATTTGACTTTTGTGGTCAAAGGAAGTAATTTGCATTTTCGCATTTGATATATTTTTCTAAAGGAAGTTTAATGTGGCATTGAAATTTCTTGCTCACGATTTGTAGTTATATGGATAGAAAAAGTTTTAGTGTTAAATTTTTTTTAATGAAGTTTGCATCAATTTTGGATTTGGAAATTGATAGATTTGACCTCAGGAGTCAAACTATGACTCGATTTTCTGAATGCAGTACTTTGTTACTTCAATAATGATTTACTAGTTGTTCTTTAACTTCACATAACTACTAGGCTCGAACCTTTACTTGGCTTGTATAGACTTGTTTAAGCTTAAGCCTCGAGTCATTTCATATGGGCTCGTAAAAGTCTTCAAGAATCTAAGATTATTCGTTAAAACAAATGTAAATTACAACTCTTATATCGGTTTGTCGACCTTGGCTCAATTAGGCTTGCTGAACTGCTAAGCCCGAACCAATGTTAGGTTCGTGCTTGGCTCAGACATTCAACGTGCTAGCTTGCCAAGCTTCTTGGCAAGCTGAATTAGTATGCATGTGCTCCCTACATAGTGGCCCAAGTTCTGTATATATTTATATAAAACCTCAAGGCTGCGTTTGGTACATGAGACGGGACAAGACAGGACGCGACAAAACTTACTGTCCCATGTTTGGCACTACATGGGACAGGACAAGAACTCGTTGCCCCATTTTTGGTGCGACATGGGGATAGACAAGAACTGAGACAAGATGGGACAACGTGAGACAAAAAAAAAAAAAAAACTTTTTCTTGTTCCACCAAAATAGGTGGAACAAGATGGGACAAGAATGAGATAGAAGCTAAAATATTACTAATTAACCCTCGTTCAATATATATAACTTTAATACGATATTTGTTTTAGTGGTCACCACCACTAGTCGCGACCGCTCCACCACCAGTAGCCACCGTCGGCGACCTTCAGCTACAACAACCTCCTCTTCCACCTCCACAACCACTGTCAACCACCGACCACCACTACCACTTGTTGGCCACCTCCACCTTCTCCTTCACTACAATAACCTCCTCCACCACCTCTACAACCATCGTTGGCCACCGACCACCACCATTCATTGCCACCACCATTGCCACCATGGGTACCTCACCACCACCCTAACTACCACCATCGGCTACCACTACCACTATCTACCATCTTCATGTCCTCCACAACCACCGTCGGCCACCAACCACCACCGTCCATATCCACCACCATTACTATCCGTTGGCCACCACCTCCACCTTCACCATAACCACCACTACCACCATCGGCTACCACCATCACTGCCACCACCACCACCACTACCTCCACGACATGGGCTATAACTACCTCCTCCACCATAGTCGACCACCACCACGACCACTATCCACCATCTTCACGTCCTCCACGGTCACCATCGTCCACCAATCACCAATGCCTCTACCTCCACAACCGTTGCAGTTGCAACAATCTTCCCCGTGCCTTTGCCAATTGATAAGGATCTTCCAAAACGAATAAAACATAATTTCTCCTTTGTACGATTGTGATTTTTCAAACTACAATCAATTATATCAAAGTTCTCATACAAATTTTACTAATATATATGTATATATCTATGTATATGAAAATTGTGTAAAAATCTTTATAAATTAATTTATTTTAATTATTTTTGTTAATTATAACTATTATATGATATATAAAATCATCAAATAACTTTTGAGGGCAACTTGTCTAGTTCTGTTATGTCCGGTCCTAGTTGTACCAAACACCAGACAGACACTTGTTTTTGTCCAGTCCTGTCTCATCCAGTCCTACATCTACCCTCTTGTCATGTCCAGTCCTGTCCAGTCTTGTCCAATCATGTCTGCGTACCAAACACTACCTAAGGGTCTAGTCAACTGTCAAATAAAGGTTAGGCCTTTGGGATCCTTCTCATAAGTCGTCAGTTGGAGTCTCCTCGGAAACACTAGGATTTTCCTAGCTGTTATCTTGATGCCCCCATAGGATTAGTCGAGGTACTTGCAAGCTGACTCGGACACCCACTGTTAGTTTGACTCTTCCCTTATGTTCTTCATAACATCTTTTTGATCATTTCACTCTCTTTAAGTTAAAGGAGAGGAGTTTGATTTTTAGAATTCTAATGTTGTTTTCTTGACAGTATTTGGGATGAATGTGGGAGGTGTCCCATGGACAGGGCAAAGAGATCCGGAGCTAGCAGATGGTTTTAGAAACGTGATGTTGCTATGCGTTGCAATGTTACTTCTCGTGCTCTTATGCTTCCTCTTCCCGTGCCTCCATAGCCGGATAACGACATGGAGGAAACCAAGAACTGTAAGAAGAAGCTGGTCTTTAAACCGGAGATCATTTCTGAAAAGAATGATTGGTGGTGGCGGTGGTGGTGGAGAAAGAGGTTACCTCCGCCTTTAATGGAGATCATAACATTCACCGCCTGTAAAATTTTCCGGTCATTTTTCCATTTATCAAGTTTGTTGGAAAACATCATTCTTTGACAGAATTGAATCTGTTGAAGCTCTTCTTGATTGCTTTTCTGCAACTTTTCTTGGGTTCTTCAGATTTTGTTCACATGTATAGAAGTTTTTATGTTTACATTTGTAAAGCATTGTGAAAGGAATAAATGCAAATTCCTTGAAGATTTGGCATTCATTCTTACAAATGGACATATACTTATAAACAAGTTTTCATATATTGTTTTGGATATGAAATAATACGTATAACAATGCAGAGTTTATATAGTGTTGTTTCATACGTGAAACATTCAGACTGTTTTGTATGTGGAAAAAACAGTATTGAATATTTTACATATAAAACAATATTGTATGAATATATTGTATTTTTATACGCTTTATTTCGTCATATGAAAATTGATTTGTAAGTTTGATCAAATCATTGAGTTTATACGCCTAGACTTTACAATCACAATGACCTCATCATCCTTGCTACCAATTTGAGGTATTTTGAACCACAAGGTGGTGTCTGATTGGTTTGAGTTTGGCTCCAAAGGTCAAGAGTACCAGGAGGTCCTAGGTTCAAATCCAAGGAGAAATAAAAATCCCCTTGTAGCCACGGAGATTCAAATACGATGACTCTGGGCTATCTGCAAAGCAGGTGGTCGTCCTGGGGATTCAGGTTAATCAAAAAAACTTCACTTTTGTAACTATAAACATAATCTTTAAATATGTTTACATTCAAAATAAACGTTTAATTTCACAAATTTCTTTCTTTTCTAATGGAGAATTACGTAATAAAATGAAGATAAAAAAAAAAGGAAAAAACAAGATAACCTGGGTTGAAGTAACCTATACATGATTATTATGTAAATTATGTGACGTCATGCATGTTATTTAATTAAATGCATGAGTACTATGCGTATATGTGAAAAAGTGTCACTATGCATACATGAATTATGTGTGTACGTATATGGTGTGAAGCATACATGGGTTTTATCATTAAAATAAGAAGATGTGATATCTTCATGGTGAAGAAAGATGGTTTTAATATAATAAAACCCACCACTGCCAATGAATTTTATATCAATAAAAAGACTCCACTGCCTTGGAGAAAATATATAAAGAGAGAAAAAAAGATAAGATCTTATCTTATCAGCTTATTTTGAAAAGAAACCTTTTGAGAGAACAAGGGGTGTGTGTGGCGGTGGAAGTGTTCTTGAGAAGAGTTTTGCATAAAAGTGATTTGAAGATTCGGTGTTGTTTGAAGATCTACTGTGTGTTTAAAATCTGCAGAAATTTGTGCTTGATAAGGTGAGTTATTGATAACTAAAACTTTTATATACGTTGTTACGCAAACTGTTGGGTTTTTGATGTTTTGATTTTGAAGAAAATATGGTAAAACTGTTTTGACAATTTAAAGGTGTTATGGTTATAAATTTAAGTATTGGAAACTGTTTTGGAAAGATAAAGAAGAGGTTGCTTCTTTAAAACAGTTTTGGAAATGATATCTTGTTTCGAGGATTTAAAGAGATTTGATGTTTTGGAAATCATTGAAAGAAGATTGTTCTTGAGTTTGAAAGTTTTGATGATAAAAACTGTTTTGGAAATCATTATTGGTTGAAAACTATAGAGGACATCTCATCAAGACGGTTGTGACTTCGGCGTGTCTTCGTTTGGTATTAATCTATAGATTTTGTGGATAAAACTATGGAGGCTGTTTCATCAAGACGGTTGTGACTTCGGTCTGTCTTCATTTGGAACTAATCCATAGATTTTGATGAGGAAATAAGGGTGACATATCAAGGAGATGTGTACCATGGGATAAATGTGGTATATCAATGAGAGGTGTACCTTCGGCTATAAGGTAGGGATGGCAAAAAAAAACCGAAATCGACGGTGAAAACCGAAAACCGAAACTTTCGGGCCGGGTTCGGGTACATTTTATAGGGGACGGAGCGGGGATCGAGGACGAATTCAGGGATTTTAACAGGGACGGGGGCGGGGACGGTCATCACCGGCCCGGCCCGGCCCGATATGTATATATATATATATATATATTCATTTTAATTTATATACATATATATAATATCATTAAAAAAATTGTAACATTAAAATCTAAAAGACTTTTATCCACTTTACCTCAACAACCCAAATAAAGCTCACGAAAAAATCTAGTTTATTTGTCTAAAATCGTGATTTTAGTTGTATAATGTTTGAATTTCTGTTTAGTTTTATATTGTAATCTAATACATTGTTTGTAATTGGTTCGATAATGTTTAAGATATTTAAACTTACATCTTAAAAAAAATTGTAATTTACTTTTAATTGTGAAAATTAACATATTGTAATTTTTTCCATATCGGTTTCGGGTTAGGTTATAATCAACGGTGAAAAAACGAATTTTTACCCTTAACGGGTTCCCAACAGGGATCGGGAAAACCGCGGGGACCCGATGGGGATCCTTGATAAGATCCCCGACGGGGATCGGGGTGGTTAGGGGGATGGTTTTAGCTATCGGTTTCGGGGATGGGATACCAATACCCGGCCCGTTGCCATTCCTAATTTCCTACTATAAGGGTGACATATCAAGGAGATGTGTACCTTAGAATATAATGGTGGCAATTGTGTGTAGATATTATAGCTCTTGCTATTAAGTCTTTTAAGATTGCAAGAGATTTGAGTTCTTACTTCTTTGTGATTTGAGRACTCAAAGATATTGATCTTATTAGAAATGATAGTATTGATGTTATGAGAAGGGGGAAACTTGGCCTATAGCCAATGGTTTTGGATAAACTCTATTTTGGAATAAGTGTTTGATTTAAGAGGAACCAGAGGGGCTCTGGTTGGTCCTCATAGTAGAACTAGAGGGTTCTGGATTAAGATTTGAGATTTATACAAGTCTTTTGTAAAACTTTTAGTTAAACCAGAGGCTCTGTATCTATAGATAAGAGCTCTATGTCAAAATTATATTTTAAAAGAGTTTTCAAAAAGGTTTTATACTTAGAAGTTTACTTAACAAAGAAAGACAGACCAAAAGGGCTCTAGTTGGCCTTTCGCGTTGGACTAGAGGCTCTGGTTGGTCTTGCATTTTGAGCCAGAAGCTTTGGCTAGTAGAACTAGAGCAGAGTTCATACATGATGCTCTTAAAAAATATATTTTATTCTTGGGAAAACTATTTTAATATCTATGATGTTGATCTCTGAACGTTTTTGGAATTTTACTTGAGTAAAAGGCTCTGGTTGGCTTACCCAGAAGCTCTGGTAGAGGAACCAGAGAGGCTCTAGTCTTCTTGTTTGTAAAATATTTTCTAAGTCTGGTTTTTGGAACCAGAGGTCCGATGGACATAAACAGAGTGTGGATTTATACTTCATTATGTGAGATGATTTTGTTTAAATAATGATTTGGTGGTATTCACCCTGCAACTACATGGAAAAAGGGATCTCACTAGATCTCTAGGTCTAACCATTATTTTGTGTTTTTCAAATATGTGTTGCAGGAAATGCAGATTATAATGATAATAAAAGAAAAAGAGAAAATGTGAATTATTTCCCTATGTGCTTAGCTATATGAAGATCATATTTGGATATGTTTTGAAGGATAGGTGTTATGGATACAAGAGCATGAATTTTGGAATTTTTGAGTTGTGTATTTTTGTATCATGGCTTCTCGTATTATGGACCTTTGTGCGTAAAGACATGTATTATAAATTACATAAATTAATTAAAATAAATAACTCATCATGGGTAAATTAATCATTTTACTTGTTCTGTTCTGTCCAGTTTTATCTTACCAAACGTTGAACAACTGTCATGTCATGTCATGTCATCACACCAAACACACCCTAAATGATACAAGATCAACGAGAAAATGTAAGTGTAACCTTTTATTTCAGATATTAAGGAGGATATTATATGGATTAATAATTGGTCTCTATAACAAAACAACACATTTCAGTGTGTGAAGTGAGAGGGAAAATATGTTTGTAATCGGAGTTCTGAAGATGATGACATTTTTGTTTTGCACTTAACCAACATGTAATGAATAGGGAAGATATAATAATGCTATCAACTTCGAATAATTTTTGGAAAGACATTAATTGATAGAACACAACACAAATATGTCAAATGTATATTCTTGTTCTGATTTGTTCTTTGAATCTAATTCACTACTCGTTCGTTCTTAAGTTTTCGTCAAAATAATTAAAATGACACCAAATAAAAAGTTTGTGTAGTTTTCTATTTTTGTTTTTATCTCTTTTCTACATTATTTTTTATTATTAATATATAATAAATTACATAAATTAATAAAAATATATAAACTGTATAAAAATAGTATTTTAAGGACAGTAAAATGAAAGCTTAAGAAATATAAAATACAATAAATAAAATTTAAAGAATGAATAAAATGTAAAAAAAAAAAGACTTATTTGATGTTTTAGAAGAGAATTAAGTTTTATGGTAAAATATAAGTTTGTTCCACCTTGTTCTACCCTGTTCCATGAGGTAGGAGTGGAACAGGCCTGTTCCACTTTATTCTACTCCGTTCTCGTCTGTTTCACATAAAATTAATGCCAAACATGGGACAATATCTCTTTCATGTTCTGTCATGTATACCAAATACACCCTTAATATATATTTTTATGCACTTCTATTCATTAATGAACCATAACCAAGGCCCACTCAGAATCGAGATTGCGCACTTTGAGGGGGACATAACCAACGCCCACAGTTCATTTATGTGGGCAAAACACTCTCGATACATCCTCCACCCAATATTTATAATGAACACGGGATGCAGTCAAACACGACCAACCCATATGCTACTCTACCTCACATACCTAAGGTATGATGATCAAATTTTTTATTAAGTCTTGTATGGATAAAAATATCTGTTTGAATAAATTTGTCTATCTGATTAAATGAGTGTTGTTGTTTACTTTTTTTATCTGAACCAACAGTCTGAAAAATATAAATAACCGATTTACCCTCCCCCCCAATATTAATTATTTGAACATCAAAATAAAAAATCATAAAGAGGCAGACGATGTGGTATCTCATATGGGAAGGAGGTGGTGCTTTAAATAAGGGGTAGAGGTGTTATTTTTGTGGCTGAATGAAGACAACACACAATTTATATATGTGCAATTATGTCATGTTCTGTGCAAATAAGCCGTAAGTAAACAACCCAAATGAGCTGTGCGAATAAGCCATATAGACCAATAACCATAATTAAGCCGCAAGTAACAGCCCCCAAGTCACAGAGTGGCTTAATGGATTTTATGCAATTTTCTTGTTTATTCTTAGCCGTTCTCTCCATATTCAGATATTAACCAATGACATTTGTCGTATATAAATATTGTATATTTATAAAAGAACTACAATAATTGCATACACGACCAGAGGTGTAACATATGTGATTTCCATTATTTCTTCATTTTTAAACACTGTAATAATCAAATATTGATAGGGACTTCTGTATGGGCTCCTTCACCTGTGTTTTCTCCCAATTAGGTTTCCACGTATATCTGATCTTCTCTCTTTTTTACTTTATTTGCATCAGCTTAATTGCTTTGTTGTATGCATTATAGTTTATTTATCTTTAACATTAAACTGTTTAATTGTTTGGATCTTGGACTGTTAACTATTATGCTTGATTTGACTTAGATTATTTGGGGTTGAATTAAGATTGCGTGATATAAACTTATTTGCAACACATTAGATCGTACACCGTTTTTCATTCCAAACATAACTTTTCAACTCAAACTCGACCTAACCTTTTTAAATTTTCTCGTAAATGAATCATCCTGAAAGTTTCGATTTAAGACATCTCCGATGGATAATACCAAATCTTACACCAAAACGGTATCGTATGCAACAATTAACCTGGTAAGTGCTAACTGTGGTAAGAGTCGTCTCCGTTACTTAATGTTAAGACTCTCAGTCATTGCCTTCGCTTTTACCGAGTAAGTTTATTGGTCCTTGCCATATTGATTCGGTAAGGTAATGTGACTTGTTAAGCGTTTATCCGAATAAGTGTTTGGTAAACGACCCCTTAAAGAATTTGTTGGAACGTTGAAGTTTGACTTAAAGCATATCAGACGACTTGACATGACTTTGATCCAACTTAAAAAATACAATCATTCAACAAAAAATTCTGAATACGCCACTTGTCCTGGTTGGAGTGGTCTTGGCTTGGTAATTCTAGTTTCCATTTGTTTCATTGTTTGGACTGAAATTGAAACTTATCCAAAATAGAAGGGTGTAAGGTGTAAATTACCAGAAAGAAATAACATCAGCGGCGCGGGTTTATAGTGTGTTCCAAAACTAGGGCATCTCCCCTTCGTCATTGCATTTGCCGATACCATACCAGAAACCCACACTTAAACAATACAAATACACAGGTTTATCTTCTCCATTAGGATTTAGCAAAACCCTAACGCAGCACAATTGTAGGTTCGCATCCTGTAATTCTATTTATACTTCCGTTACTATCATCCTCGTGTTCTTATATTCTAGTTTGCTCCGTTGTTTATTAATATGTGTTTTCGTTTAACAGAGATTTCTTAAAGGTTGTTTCTTTGTTGGGATCAATGGGTAGTAAGAAAAGGAGCTCCGATAGTGTAGAGGAAGTAACTAACCGTAAGAGTGATGCAATCTCTGAAAACAAAGTTTCGACTGAGCATCTGAGGAAGAAAATAAAAAAGGTGAAAAAGGAGGGGGATATAGCAAATGATAATAGTAATAACAGCTCTGATGCTGTTAAACCAATGGAAAGGAAGAAAAAACGGAAAGCATTGGATAAAGAAAAACATCGTTCTACTTTGGATGAAAATGCTGAAGTAAACCCAATAGTGGCAGGCTTGGAGGTTAAAGAAGTTGAGAGTAGATCAGTAAACAGTTTGCCTGAGTTTCATATAGGGGTGTTTAAGGACTTGGGGTCTGCTGATGTTTTGGTTAGAGAAGCTGCTGCGGAGAGATTGGGGATGGAGTTGCAGGAGGTTCAAAAGGCTTACAATATGCTAGAAAAGAAGGAAGATGTTGAGGCTGGGTTGAAGTTGGAGGCTGAGAAAGAGGATGGATTGAATAATTGCGCACCGTCCCTAAGATATGCTATACGAAGGCTTATTCGAGGTGTTTCCTCATCAAGAGAGGTGTGTTTTATGTGATCTTATATGGCTGGTATTTTCTAATCTAGTAGGTGTTTATTGGTTTCTTTGTGCTCTTTACTTGGATTTATGTGAATTAATCTTTGTACAAGGCATTACAGCAAAACCAAAATATTTGAATTCCTTTTCGCGGTATGAGAGTTAAAAGTAGCTTGAATGGTCAGATTTGTAGGCTTATCTTTGCTACCAATGATGAAGATGTCTGCTGATTATACAATAATTGGTTTTAGAAGTCACAATGCTAGGAAAGTTTGACTAACATGTGATTGCAATGTATCAGGCAATGCATGATGTCCTGTGAATAGCCATGTGGCAGTTCCAGCAGATGATTTCTTTATATTTTTTCAAAACATTCAAACTTGTCCGTCATTAACAGTTCTACTACTCTTTGATCCTTATGGTTTTTACCACACTGATAAAATTGATATTAGTTTTACTTCAAAACAGTTGTTTTCCTATGTATGTTTTGTTTTGCATGCCTGCTGATATATTCATTATGTTTCCTGTCTGATATTAGTTTTACTTTGACATTCCTTTTCACGAGTATGCACTTTCTGCATGTTAGTTGATACTAAGAGGCGTGTCCTTCACCAATATTTTTTTGGAGTTAGAGATTCCAATCAAAAGAGTATACTTTCCTAACTTGTGAACCTTGTCTTTTGTGCATTCTTTTGCAGTGTGCAAGACAAGGCTTTGCTTTGGGTTTGACTATGTTAGTTGGTACAGTTCCTGATATTCCATTGAGCTCGCTGCTGAAACTAATCGTTGACTTGTTGGAAGTCTCTTCTTCTATGAAGGGTCAGGTGGGACAGTAATCTATTGTGAAGTAGTCTGCGTACTTACCTTTTTGGACATGACTCTGTCCACTTGTTTCGTTCTAAATATTTGAAATATTTCTTTATGGCGTACAGGAAATTAAAGATTGTCTTTTAGGTCGTTTGTTTGCTTATGGTTCTCTTGCAAGATCAGGAAGGTTAATTCAAGAAAGTGTTTCTGATGAGAATTCTGAGCATATCAAGGAATTTACTAGTGCTGCTATATCACTTGCCACCAAGAAGCGCTATCTGCAGGAGCCTGCTGTCGTGATTGTCTTGCAATTGGTCGAGAAGGTATTTAATAATTGAATGGAGATGGAACAAATGCTTTTAAGGATTTTGTTGAATACCCTTTCACAGTGAACTCTTATATCAGATTATTAGCACTGAATGAGTTATATATCTGATTGCCTTCATATGTTAAGACTAATGAGCTCAGCACATTCAAAGTTGTGGTATTAAGTTAGTCCCAGAAGCTTTTAGATGTGCTTTTACTTTGCAACCTGTGGCGAACTTGACTAATTTACTTTGTGTTAAGTTGTGCTGCATTTGAGAACTTGCTATGTCTATGTTCTAACTTATATCCGAGTGAATAATTTTTTTTGTATTCTTAAGCTTATCAAAGTTGAGTGATTAGTGTGGTAATTGGTAAAATTCATCCATTACAACTTCAGTCTTGTCTCTGTTTTGCAACTTAAACAAGCTTCACAAGTACTGTGCTGCTCCAAGCCCTATGATCTTTCAACTAAACTAAGCATGGCCTTTATCCTACGATGGTTTATTGACATCTCTAGGAAACTATAAAGACAAATAGGTGATAATCCAAACTGGTGTATGTGAAGTGTTTCCTTCTTTTTTTGATGATTGATGGCAAGTCATTGATCGCTCCTCTAATTTAATTCTTCAGTTGCATATTCTTATATATGTTCTAGCTTCCAGTATGCAATTATTTCCTTAGTAGTACTCTACATGGTTTTGGTAATCTGAATTTATATGGATTTCAGTTGCCTGTTGAAGTTGTCCTGAAGCAAGTCCTTGAAGCTCCTGGTCTCCAAGAATGGTTTGAAGGAGCAACAGAATCCGGAAATCCTGATGCATTACTTCTAGCTCTAAAGCTGAGAGAAAAAATATCTACCGACAACCAAATCTTCGGGAAGCTCTTGCCTCATCCATATAGTTCCAGCATGCTGTTTTCTGCTGACCATCTATCCTCTCTTGCAAATTGCTTGAAGGTGATATCTATTGTTGGCTTTGTGGTTTGTGTAAGAACCTTAGTTTTCTGATTCTCATTTTTTGTGGTTTTGCAGGAGTCCACATTTTGTCAGCCTCGAGTTCATGGTGTCTGGTCTGTTTTGGTTAATATCCTTCTACCTGATATTGTACCACAACATGCTGATTTAGCAACAGGATTGAACTCCACAAAGAAGCACAAAAAGAATCGCAAATCTAGCTCTTATGATGAAGATATTCAGAAAAACCTGCAAAATTTCTGGGAGATTATTATTGAAGGATCACTTCTTCTGTCATCACATGATCGGAAACACTTGGTGTTTGATGTTATGCTTCTTGTTCTACGAAGGCTTCCCGTTTCTTGCGTTCCTATTGTTTTGTCTTATAAGATTGTCCAATGTCTAGTGGATATACTTTCCACAAAGGATTCATGGCTGTACAAATTTGCAGAATATTTTCTCAAAGAATTGTCAGAATGGGTCAGCCATGATGACGGTAGACGGGTGGCTGTTACTATGGCTCTGCAGAAAAACAGCAATGGGAAGTTTGATTGCATTACACGGACTAAAACAGTTAAAGATCTGATGTCTGGTTTTGATACTGAACCTGGCTGCATGCTTTTTATTCAAAATCTGATTGATATGTTTCTTGATGTGACACATGCTTCAGAAGAACCTTCTGATCAAAGTCAAACAACCGATGATAATTCAGAAATTGGTTCAATTGAGGATAAGGATTTTGCTGGAACGCTGGGAACATCCGATTTTTTGAAAGGCTGGGTTGTTGACTCTATCCCCAGTGTTCTGAAACATTCAAAGCTTGATAATGAAGCAAAGTTCCGTGTTCAAAAAGAAATCTTGAAGTTTCTGGCTGTTCAGGGTTTGTTCTCTTCATCTCTTGGGACTGAAGTGACTTCCTTTGAACTACAAGAGAAGTTTAGATGGCCAAAAGCAGCGACTTCAAGTTCTCTTTGCAGGATGTGTATTGAGCAGCTGCAGTTATTGCTGGCTAATGCTCAGAAAGGAGAGGGGCCTCATGCAGTAGCAAGTGGTCTTGAGGCTAACGATCTTGGTTCTTACTTTATGCGATTTCTTAGTATTTTACGCAACATTCCTTCAGTCGCTCTCTTTAGGTCATTGAGCAATGAAGATGAGAAGGCATTTAAGAAATTGCAAGCAATGGAAACCCGTCTCTCCAGAGAGGTAATCCACTGTTACATTTACCTGGAAAGTTGGCTTCTTTTGACGGTTAATTTATGGTATCAAAAAGAGATTTTTAAATGATCATTGCTGCTAGCCTTTTAGTTCTATCCGTTTCATAAATAGTGCATATAACGCGACTTTTACTTTTTAAACAATGGCAGGAAAGGAATTGTGGGATGAGTGCCGATGCTAACAGATTGCATGCTTTGAGGTACTTGCTCATTCAATTGCTGCTTCAACTCTTACTCAGACCTGGGGAATTCTCAGAAGCTGCCTCTGAAATCATTATATGCTGCAAGAAGTTTTTCCCTTCGCCTGATCTCCTTGATTCCTCGGGAGATGATGAACCAGATGGAGATGAAGCACCTGAATTGATGGATGTCTTTGTCGATACGCTGCTCTCATTGCTCCCACAATCATCAGCTCCTATGCGCTCTGCCATTGAACAGGTAGTTACCATAACACAGCTTGGCTATTTACATGAAATTTGTTACTCTCTGTCCCAAAACGTGTCCATAATCTTTTGTGTGTTCCAAAAAAAAGTGTCCAGTGCTTAATTTTCTATTCTAACCCTAATTATGAGATGGAGAAATTCATTATTCCCTCTTATTGAGGGTAAAATTGTCATTTGGTTTATTAGAAAGTGTAATGATTACACATTTCTAAAACTGGGCCTTTTTTTTGTTGTTGACATTTATTTCTGGAGCGGAGGGGGGGAGTAACATATACCTTTTAAAGGTGGTTTCCACATTTTACACACTTGTGGGTAAGAGCTTGGTCACATTTTGGCAGCCCACTCATGTTGGTTTATTGTGGTTCTGATGACTCTTACTTGGGTGGGAAAAGGTCACACAGATTCTATTTGATTAAACAGAAAAATTGAAGAACTTAAAACCTATCACCAGATGTTCAAGTCATTGATAGATAACAGCTTTTGGTCGGTATATGTATTCTTATTTTTCTTTGTATTACGTAGATGCAGTTTTTTAATGCGAGAGCTTGGTCTATTCTATCTTATTTTTTATAAATTCAAGATCTCCTTGTTGAACATCATGTAGCATATGGAATTATGTGATCTTTTCTCATTTTATTGCAACAAATGAGATAAACAGGTCAATTTTTTTTTGTAGGTTTTCAAATACTACAGTGATGATGTCACGGATAATGGTCTACTACGGATGCTGAAGGTTATAAAGAAAGACCTGAAACCAGCTAGACACCAAGAGACAGACAGTGAAGATGACGATGATACTGATGATGATGATCTTCTGGGTATCGAAGAAGCAGAGGATTCTGATGAAGCAGAAACAGGTGAAACCGGTGAGGGTGATGAACAGTCGGAAGACTCCGAGGGAACTGTAGGTGTGGAGGACGCTGGAAAAAGACTTCGTGAAGATTCTGATGATTCTGACGGGGGAATGGATGATGAAGCTATGTTCAGAATGGATTCTTATCTAGCTCAGATTTTTAAAGAGAAGAGGAACCAAGCAGGGGGAGAAACTGCTCATTCTCAGCTTGTGCTTTTCAAACTGCGTGTTCTTTCGTTGCTGGAGATTTACCTTCATGAGAATCAAGGCAAGTCTTAATTGCTAAAATCATTGTCAATTGGATAAATGAAAATCATCCAGGGAAAATGCATCAAAATGTAACAAAGTTTGATCTTGTACCATTTTGACCGGTAACCTACTGATTTTGCAACATTTGCTCATGTGGATGACCGTTTATGAAATGTTCATGGAAGGGTTATGGCAAAGTGGATGATAAACTTGACATCTATGTCATCAAATGTTACAAAATCAACAAGTTACGTGGTCAAGATGGATACAAAATTTGAAATTTTGGAACTTTGTTACATTTAGGATATGGAATGCCTTATTAATGTTTTTGGGAAAATTGCAGGGGAACAAACCTCCAAAATCTTTCATTTTAGGGTGCGGAGCAAACTTTTCATATATTTAAGGGTCTTGTTTAATATTTCATAAATCTTTCATTTTGAAAGTTGGTTCTTCAAAATAGGAATCAGTGCAAAGATGGTTTCTTGAAAATGATCTTAAATGGCATCATGCAGTCACATAACCAGACTTGGTAGTCTTGTGGGATGTTTGTACTGATTTGGCTTTGTACTTTTTGTTATGCAGGCAAACCACAAGTGTTGAAAGTATTTTCAAACCTTGCCCAGGCGTTCGTTAGCCCCCATACGACTGAGGGTAGTGAGCAGCTTGGTGACCGTATTTGTAAAATCATGGAGCACAAGATATTCAAAGCAAAACACTACCCGAAAGGAGAATCTGTGCAACTATCTACGCTGGAGCCTCTGCTGGAAAAGAACTTGAAGTTAGCATCAAAGCCTTTCAAGAAAAAGAAATCAGCAATCACCCCATCAAAGAAGAAACAGGCAGCCTCCTTCCAGCGCTACAGGAAAATCGTTAACCTGGCTCAGAACTCAACCTATTGGATTCTAAAGATGGTGGATTCTAGAAACTTCCCTGAAGCTGAATTGGAAAAGGTGTTTGATATCTTCAAGGGGGCTCTGGTGGCGTATTTTGATGGTAAAAACTCTCAACTGAAACCCCAGTTCTTGAAAGAAATCTTTAGGAGGTGGGCATGGGTTGGTCATCATTTCTTTGGCTTCCTTGTTGAGAAATGCAGTAGTGCAAGGTCAAAGTTTAGGCAAGTTGAAGCACTTGACCTAGTTTTGGAAACATTGAAGCCATTTGTTTCTGTGAATACCGATGGAAGCAACGCAGCCATGGGAACTAAGATGGTAAGTAGTCATCTTGGTGAACTCTGCATTCTGATCAAGGAACTAGTGACAAATATGCCTGAAAAGCAAGCTAGAAGGGCCGAAGTGCGCAAGTTCTGCGGTAAAATCTTCAACATCCTGAGTACCCTTAAGCTATCGACACAGTTTCTTAAATCTTTGGAGGCAGATGTTCAGTCGGCATGCGAAAAACAGATCGGTAAACCATTTCTTGATTTGAAAAAGCAAGAAGGGTAGTGTTTTTGACGTGTTATTTCTTGTATAAATTTTTGGAAGTGTTCCATTGAAGATGATCGCTGCAAACTGTGAAACTATACTACAGCTTCAGAAAATTTTGATGAGCGGGTTATGTTAGAAACTTGTTTCTGGAATCATTTATCCATACAGAACTCCTTTGTTATTGGCTTATTTTCATTCAGCAGTGCAACTTTTAACATTAATTTAATGTATGCATTAGATTCTTGAACTCAGTTGGGTCATATAACCTGCTGCTTTGTTCAATACAGAATTGTTCTTTGCTTCTGGATTGTATGTGTGAATCGTAACCCCCTCGTTTAAATATCCTGTTGGCTAATAAGCACATATATATATATATATATATATCACAAGATTCGAATCTGGGTTATTTTATCATCCCACTATCTAATACCCTTTTTGGTTAAATTGTATCACATTATTGTCTTGGTTTTGTTTTTTGCAGAAATATTGCAAAATTTGAACTTCTAAACGCGTATCTTACGTGTTCACAAGAAGGTTCGATGTGACTTGCCTTAGAATATATATTTAGATACAACCCCATTCCAAGGGGCAACTTTATACAAGGATTTGAAGCCTTCTCTACCAACCACAAGTCAACACATTCTTAATCTCAAATTAAGCTTCTTATTGGTCCAGAACAACGTCTATTTCCAACATCTTTGACCTATAAAAATCAAGTCTTCCTTTTGGTGTTCAATTAACAATTTGATAGTAATAATAATCAAAGAAAACATACAATAACATCAATGGAATTAGAATTGCCAAGAAAATCATGGATTACTACTACACTAAGCTTTTTGTCTTGTTGGTCATATGTACACACAAGAGCATTCCCTCATCTCAACTATCTTTCTTCTTCTGCTTGCTTGCTTGCTTGCTAACTCCCTACTATATAAAGTCAGGAACACCCCCAAAAACCATTTTACCAAAAAATTAAAAAAAAAAAAACCCAATCTAAACGAACCTAAATCAAACCCAATTACCACCAGGGGTTGAGTTGGGTTGGGTTGGGCTTGGGGCTATCTCCTACATCTGTGCAATTATACCTCATGGGAGTTTCACCATCATATCACACTTTCATATTCTTTGCTTTTGCCAAGCAATCATCTTTCCTCTTTCTTTTCAACACACCCATCCATTTCAAATCCTGATCCTGCATTGGCGTTTGTATTTTGGGTTTCTCTGATTCATTTCCCATCTGTTCATGTCACGACTGTGCATCATCTGCATCTGAATCACTCCCAGAAGAACTCCCAGAGTCTGAATCTGTAAACACATTAAAATCAATCTCATAAGCAATTCAACCTCCCAACAACCTCTCTTTCAGAACTTCTTGAAAGACAAGATTCAATACCGCTCGAGGAAGATGAATCACTACTTGAGCTGCTCGAACTGCTTGAGCTGCTACTGCCATTCTCATTCCCATGACCTGTACCTTGACCCTGCCCACCACCATCATCTTTCTCAATCTCCACATGAGGGAAGCTGCTTTCTGGCATCTCATCCCCAATATCAACATCCTCCTCCCCTGCTTCTTTCTTGTTCTTCTTCATCCCATCCGCTTTCTCACTTACAGGGACCTGAATTTCATTAAATCCATTAGAAAACCCAAATAAAGAACCAACACATAATGAAGCAGATATACAAACAATTGACCAGCTTACATCATCATGGTCAGGTGAGACACTAGCAGCAGCAGCTGAGGCACTGTTTACCAATAGCGCCTGTCTCTTTGTCTTGCTCACAAGTTTCTTCCAGTTTGTCACAAACCGATCAAGCTCCCAAAGCGTTTCTGTGTCCAAAGCTTCAATATCAAGCTCAATTTCATCACCCTCTTGCGCCAAATGATCATTTCTCTTGCGAATGATTTGCACCAACTGCGGCATCTTTTCTGGAGGCAAACTTTGCAAACCCAACCCCAATTTTTGCTTCTCTTCCATGTTCATTTCCCTCTTGTTGGGATCCTTAGCCCTGGGCTTCGGTTGTTTTCCAACAGCACCCCGTGTGGTAGTTGTTGTCGCAGAAGATGGCTTAATTGGTTCCACAGCCTGCATTGGCGATGGAGTCCGCACAGGCGACTGAACAACAGGGGGGATTACTGGGTTGGATGCAGTAGAGTGATTTTGTTTGTTTGAGATAGACGGAACAACAGGGCCACTACTTTTCATCTTCTTTGATCTCTCGGGGGTTTGAACATCGTCCCAAGAACTACCATCTAACTCGTCAATAGCAGAGAACTCATTCACGTGGTGATGGGTTGCCAATTTCGCCTGGATTGGTCTAAATAACTCCTCAAAATGCGTAAGAAGCTGATCAGCCATTCCATGAACCTCATCGGTCCTAGGGTTATAAAGCATCGCGTTCTCAAACACCAACCTCACATCCGAGGCAAAATCTGAGGGACTTGCGTACATGTTCTTTGACAAATTCGATTTAACCGTCCCCAAATCCATTGGCCGCTTGATAATCTGATGATAATCGTGAAGCCCTAAAGCAACGGCGTCTACGGGTTTGTTAAAGACCCAGCTGAGCTTGTGCTTCATCAATTTCGTCAACACCTGCCTGCACATCTTCAACAAATTCTCGTCCGCTTCACCACCTCCACTGCCGTTTACCAAACCCTGTCGGAAATGTTTCGGCTCTTTGTTGCTAGATCCAAACGGCATCGAAGATGGCTGCCGTTTATTACCAGACAGTTTCTTGAATTTTCCGTTGGATGATCTAGGGTTTAATTCGCCAGCATGAATCCGTTCATTTAGGCTCCGAATTCTTTCGAGATCCAAAACCAATTTCTTCCGGAGCTCATTTATCTCGCTTCTAGAACACGCAGCAACGTTGTAGCTCACATATCCGCCGTGGTTGAAACTATTTCCATAACCGCCTCCTCCGCTGGTCTCAATCGGTCTTTGGTTGAACGAATAAGCGTCATCTGATGCGGCCTGACTCACAACCACCCCGCAAGAATCAACAGGGTGAGAATTGTGGTTATGAGGCCTGCCGTTAACAGCTGCGTTGGGAAAATGCTTCTTCTTGTTTGATTTGGGTTTTTGGTTAGGGTTAGGGTTAAGGTTAGGGTTCAGATGACGAGGATTATTATTGGAATAATTAGGGATTTCCCCCATGAATGATTGATGGCCACAGCTTGTTTGATTCCTACTCGCTAACACCGTCGACGCCATGAACCAACAACGATGGCAGCGAATTTGCCCCGTCGAGATCCGGATCTATCTCGAAACGAAAGCCACACAGGCGTAAACGAAAACATGTAGCAATCCAACACAGCAACCAATACGGCGTCGACGAAGACAATACAACACCGGCGGCCGGCGATCTATTAATTGTCACCGGAAAAAAGACGAAAGGAATATAAAATTTGCATATATATATATGGAGGTGATGGCCTTCTAGGGTTTGAGACTGAGCGAAGATTGAAGGGGTTGGGGTTGGTTCTTAAAGGCGATAAGATCTGACCGTCGTAACGACGGGCAGTCCATCCACCGTCGATTTATTTCTGACCGCTCATCCAACGGTTGATGAAGATTTACTTGCTGTCTGGGCACCCTGCCCATCATACCTGTACTCCACGGTTGAGATCCCATCCGTTAGACGCGTGGCGCAATCTCGACGCTTGATGAAAATATCGTGAGTTTTGGGCGCTTTAATTTAGGGTTTTTTTTTGTTTCACAGAGTGGGACCCTCACACCAGTTCCACTCTCAAACACATATGATGACGTGGACTGACCATAAATACGACTTGCCATCATCAGTCACGCGCCCTGGCACGTGGGTGGTAATACAAGCGCGTGTATAGGGGTATCCATGTAATTCCAACAAACAAGATAACCGACCTTTTTGCTTGAAAAGACCAAAATAGCCTTGGTGATTGGAAAAAAAAGGTAAAAAGAGTGTTGGGACTTCAAATTTAATCACCTCCCCAAAATAATAATTCTTTCTCATTTTAAATATTTACCGAAAACTAGAAAAAGTATTATTTATTGAAAAACCATGGTTTTTTTCCATGAAATTTGTAATTTTTAATAAAAATTAAATATTATTTTGAACACAAAATATTTAATTTCAAAACACTAACAACAATTATTTTCATAGAAAACGTATGTTTTCAAAAATCAAAACGAGTTTTACATGAAAATTACAAGTATTTACATTGTTTTTAAAACTGATTTATAAAAAATATATACATATATTTGAATTGTTGTACGACTTTATTTTGTTGTCAAACAAAAATACATATCAAAATATTTTGTATATATCGAGTTTTATTTAAGAAAAAAAACCTAACTCGAATTAAAACTTACCAAAAACAGTTTGTAACAATTTCACAAAAACCCAAAAAAATATTTTGTAATTTCTATAAAAAAGTTTACATTTAGAATAAAAAAATAAGCAAAATGACCAATAAAATTAACAAAAATACGAAATTAATAAAATATTTATGTTAACGATGAAGAGGTACCGTTTTAACAAAAACCCTATTTGTGAAGATCGGAGAAAGGAATAGGTTATCGTCGCCGGTGGCCGGAAACCGAAAGGTACGGTCTTCTCCGATCTCGGAACGCGGATCTGTTGGCGATGGTTTGTCACAGATCTCATATGTGGTGGCGGTGGCGGTGGTGGTGGCTTTGGCGGCGAGGGATTGCAGCGGCGACGGATAATTGGGGAAAGTGATCGGATCTGATGGTGAAGGGGGTTGGGGAATAATTATTGGGGAGTGGATTAAAGTTTTGGGGACGTTTTTTGCGGTTGTAGCGTAAGGATTGTTTTTTAATTTGGGTTTGCATTTCACATGAGTTTCAGTTCCATTTCACATGAATTTCAGTTGCATTTCAATTATAAAACAACAACCTATTTATGGAGTATGGACTCAACAGCATTTGTTTTCCTTTTTCTATTAAAACAAATTTATATTTACTAGAAGGTACTCAGCATGTTAAGCGAGATAAATTTTGATTTTAATGTTTAGTTTTGATTCTGACTTTATTGATATAATATGATTTTACGTAGTTTTGAGAAACTATAATATTTTTATTTTTGAATGAAATAAAAATAACATAAAATTTTGAAAAAAATAAATCGATATTAGTATTAAATTAACTATTTAATAGTTCATGTTTTTTGGTGTAACTTTTTTAATTCAATTTTTTGTTACAATTTAATTTATATTTAATAACAAAGTAATTTATTTTTGATTTAATGATATAAATTTTTATTAATAATTAAACATTCTGTTAGAACTTAACGGTTATCTTAATTATGTTTTAGATTTTTCTATATTTAAAGTGAATGTTTATCCTATATTTGATTATGTTTATCTGCAGTTTGTTACACGAATTTAAAAATTGAGCTTTTATAAGTTGTACTTACGCAAAATTACTTATAATCTTGAATTTTAAATATTTTACATCAATAAACAATATTTCATGCATAAAAATTGGTTTTAAAGAGTTTTTATCAAAGGTTTTATAATATAACTAGATGTGTACTAGCGCAATGCAGCGAGATACATCTTCATTTTAGTATTTTGTTTTATTTTTTATCTCTGTTAATATAATATGGTTTATATGATTTTGAGAAAGATATTATTTTTACTTTTGAATAAAAATAAATCTGAAGATATCATAAAAATTTGAAAAGATATATCGATATTAACATAAAATTAACTATTTAAAAGTTATTTTTTTATACAATTTCTTTAATTTAACTTTCTATTATAATTTAATTTAGGTCTAATAACGAAGTAATTTATTTTTGACTTAATATTATTTCTATAAAGATAATAATTATGTTAGAACTCAATGATTATCCTAATTATTTTTTTAGATTTTTTTTATTTAAAATGAGATTTTTATCTTATATTTGATTATGTTTATCTGCAGTTAGTTGTATGAATTCAAAAATGGAGTTATAATAAGTTGTACATATGCATAATTTACTTGTAATATTAAATTTTAAGTAATATGCATTAATAAACAGTACTTCATGCATAAAAAATGGTTTTTAAGAGTTTTTGTCAAATGCTTTATAATATAGTATATATATATATATATTAAATTATAAATATGCATACAATACAAAACAAATCATACACAAGACATCGCCGGTCTGAATTTAATTTATAACTACAATAAAAGCGTTTAAGTTACATTTTTTATTAGATGTTTGTGATAAAATATATCAACTTTTGGAAAATTGTTTGGACTCTTATTTCTCTTTTTTGAATTTTAAATTAAAAGAAAAAGACAAACATCCAACCAATTAGGGGTTGTTTATCAAATATCCACCCAATAAACATCTATCGGTAAAATTTTACACTATAACTTACTTACCAAGTAAGATTTTACTTTTTCAAATCGGCATTATATGCAACAATTTTACTCTATATGTGTTAATTATTCACTTACGAGGCAAGACTCTTGGTCCTTGCCTTCGTTTTTACTGGGTAAGATTATTGATCTTGATCATATTCATCGGATAAGGTAATGTGACTTGATAAATGTTTATCCACGTAAATGTTTGGTAAACGCCCCCTTAGTCAAATTTATGTCTTTTTATATTTAACTAAACTATCTCATCTACCACTCTTTTAGGATGTTTATAATATAACAAAATGTTCGATAGTTGGTGATTAATAACTTGATTCTCACAAGAGTGGTGTTTGATTGATTTAAGTTTGGACTTTAAAGGTCAAAACTGTCTAGAGGTCCTATGTTCAAATCGAATGAGGAATAAAAAATCCCCTTGTGACCATGGAGGTTCAAATGCGGTGACTTCAGGTTATCCGCAAAGCAGATGGTCATCCTGAGATAAATCAGCTCGTATAACGAGTTGGATATATAAGTTAATAAAAATAATAATAATTTGATCCTCAAGTAATGGTGTGGCCTTGTTTTTGTTTTGTGTGTGTGTGTGCATATATGAGATGACAATCCAAGGAGAAACACAAAAAATTACAATCATAAGAAAATCGATATAAAAATATTTTTTACATAATTTTTCTCAGTAAAATCCTTGATTTAAGGTATTATTTCACATATGTTTGTATTCACCTTATGAAAAAATTATATATAATTTTTTCGTTTACTTATTGAAATGAAAAATACACGTAAAAAAGTTTCAAATTATGAAACTAATACACATGAATAATAGCTTAAATTTTAGCATTTAATGAAAAAATCAATTAATTTTTTATTAAATCAGTTATCACGAGTTTATAATCTTTTCTTTATGGATCTCATTTGATTTAACTATATATATAATATAATATACAAAAGATATTATATAATATAGAGCTTTAATTAAATGAGAACCCTATAATTTGTGAGATCCAATGTAAACCACTCATTTGAGATAATTATGTTATCTATTAAATATATAAAATGTAAGTTAGTCAACTCATAAATGTATTTAATTAATTTATTCTTCAATAAATAGGAAAATTTATATTTATTTATTGTTAAATCTCAAATATAAGATTCATAATTAAAACCAAAATAAGTTTTATATTTATTGTTAAATCTAAAATAAAATAATTGAAATTAAAAAAAAGTATAAAAATTTATATCTTTTATTTTGACACTTATATCGATATATTTTAAAGGAAACTCTTTTTTTTTACCTCAGTCTACGTCACTCGGCTGACTTCGGCAATGGGATGATCTCGTTGGGCTAATTTATTAGAGAACGATGTTAAATGGACGAGAAAGAGAGGATTTCTTTGCTAGTGCACGCAGACAGGTAGTTGATTTCATTAGGGAATGGACTCAATCGAACGGCCAACCACTTTCCAAGGACAATGGAAAATCCGAATCCCTAGGACAAYGGAAAATCTTTATACCTTTCCTTCGAGTGCCCATGCCATTAGAAAGCGGTTTTTCCCTCAGGTTCCTCCCGCAAAGCAAGTTCCAGTGGATTCCGTGCCTGAATGTCCAGTTTCTTCTTTCAATCCCGTCTTCGCGAAAAAAATCGTGTAGTGCGGTGAAGAGTTCCCGTTGGGAAACGAAAGAACTTTCACTTTCCATAACCAAAATGAAAGAAAGTCAACCTAACACATGCGACGGAATATCTTACATCAAGGTGATAGGATTCGATATCGACCAGGTTGTTTAATTTAAAAAGCAGAACATAGAAAAGAGGTAGGACATATTTTTTACGGACTACGATATGACTTGGATTGGAGATCTGTGAACCATTAATAATTTTTCATTTTTCATTTTATTTTTATAAATCAGTATATATGTTATGAAAGAAAAAAGATCGATAATCGAACACATGTTTTGTCTTTTGTTTTTTTACAATCATATGTTACATGTGAAGGCTTTTCCCCTTATTTGGAAAATAAAACCATGACCTTTTTAACTTTTTGTGACACAACACACTTTTTCTTTCATTTTTCCGTAAATGTTTCGTAGTTGCAGGTTAAATAAAAGATACAACTTTCGGCCAATTTTAAACTTGATCGATTGACAGGTCG